ATCTCTAAATTAAGCCTTTTCCTATAAATGAGCCCTAGCAGGTAAATGGAAAAGCCTAACTAGCTAAGCTGTCACACACTCAATGTGATAACATCTTTGTAGTGATTTTATCTCAAAGAATAAAGAGCTTATAAAAACACACAGCAAAAAAAAAAAAAAAAAAACCACACAGCTACAGTAAAAAAAAATATTCTAGTTACTGGAGAAGAAAAGGGTTCTCATAATATTTAAATAAACCAGTCTTCATAGCTTTGAATGAAAATTGTATTATTAAGCATGTAATATTAAGATCATCACTGAAAGCAGAGTTCCTACATTTAGACATACAACAAACTGAGATTATACATAAAATCATAAATTCATAATAAAAGTAGCCATCATTTATCTATTGAGTCCTTTCTGTGCTAGGTACTTTACTCACTCACCAATAATACTATTTATAATATACTATTATAAAAACAAGACCTCTGGCAAAAAGGTTATATAACCTTCTCAACTTAATTAGTGGCAGAATGAATGGAAGAGCTGAGATTCAAAGCCAGGACTGACTTCAAAGCTTTAAATTTGTGTTTCCAACTGACTGACTTCTCTTTGGCAAGCGAGCACTGCCTTTATTTAGAGCAGGGATTTCAAACTCAAAGGCCAACAGAACCTAAGTGGTGTACAGAAGTGAAGAAGGTGACATAAAAGACCAGAGTAGTGAGGCTTGGAGCAACCCAGAGAACATGTACCAGGTGGAGAAAGTGAACTGCTCAAGTGGACATGGGGCTGTCACGCTGGACAGCCAGCGTGGGCCCAGAAGCTTCTCAAGGGGCTGGAAATCCAAACTGTTTACGTGACAGACTCCGATCTTTCAAGTATTGGTGAGTAGAACAAAATTCATGTGGGGCCACAGTGAAGGACCCCAGAAACGCACCAAGAGGCCCTAGCAGGCACTTTCCCAGAGGCACCCTTCAAACCCACACAGTAACCCGTCTTCTTTCCAACCTTTCAAAGTGACACGTCCTTCCCACCTGGGCATTGCTCCTTCCTGCCTTCCGGTTCCACCTGTAAAAATGTGCTCTTCTGCAACCTTTATGTCAGCTCCTGCTCAAACTCTGGACCTTACTTCAACAGCTACCCCCTCAGGGAAGTGTTCCGACTCCCACAGAAATCCTCCGATTTTAGATTTTTATGGCACGACGGGTTTGCACACACCTGGCACAGTCATAACTGCATGAGAGCCATGTGCCTCTCCAACAGCCCACTTTAAAACAGGCCACGTTCATAGGTCTGGCTGTGCTCACTGGTGACGTGCCAGCACCCAGCCCAGCACACAATAAGCACCCAACAAATATCTGCTGAAGGGAGAGTGGAGGGAGGACAGTCCCACGTCCCAAGTCTTCTTCAGCTGTCTCCACCTCCCGCTGTCCCGGGCTCCGGCCCCGCCCCCAGAGCAGCCCCAGTACTAGCGCTCCCAGGACAATCCGAGCCCAGATGAGCAAGCTGACAACCACTGAGATCGAAGGAAGCCTCACACAACACGGAGTGAGGCAGCTGCTATGTGCGCTCCTGCTTAAGAATGTAACTTTGTGGAAACTGCGATTCTGGATCCTTCTGAAAAGTGAAAATTGATGGTGATATTATTAGACCTCTCACACAGATACTGGAAATCCACCCCAAGTTTACTATCAGGAAAATGGTTTCCCAAAAAAAGAGATCATAACAACTATGATGAGTGTTGGAGTGGCTTCAAATAACAACCTGAATGAAAGCTTTTGATCTGTATGATTTCAGAGTGCAAAAGGTTTCCTCAAGAATAAAAACAGCAAAAGGAATCAATGATATTCAGTAAGAACAGGGGCCAGGATATGTGGCCCTTTCACATAAACAAGCTAGATGGGGAGGTTAAAATAAAGTGGTTCTCGATGAAAGATTTCCACATCTTCTTATTCCCTCTCCAGTGGAACCATAGGTTTGCTGCTGCTGCTACCACCCAACAATAAAAGGTCTTCATCACCACCTCTTATTTACTATACAATGAAAAGCATTTTCTTACGACAAAGTCCCCTTTCATTAAAGAAATACATGAAAATACACTCTGATGTCCTCCATAGCAAACGGTTCCTACTCTCAAACCACAACTCCTAAGATCGCGTCAATTAAACTGATTCCATGCAACTCTGCATGGGATTCTCTGCAGCGGTCTAAACAGGAGGGAGAAAGGGGCCAACTTAGGAGTAAACAAGCCCAGGAAAGAGTCCACACTCTGTCTTTCAATTAAGATACTTATAAATCAAAAATGATGAGATTCCTGTACCACAAAATGTTTAATCCAATATTTCTTAAACATTAGAGAATGCAGTGATGCACGTGGAGGAAGTCTCCTAACCAGGAAAGCCCCCAGCTTCTCTTCAACATAAAGGTTCTATATCCCTGCATTTCTTGGCACGATTCAAAAGCTAACCAGCGGGCCATCTACACGAATGTGTGACTTTAAAGATGCCTGGGCTTCTGTTTCTATAGCAAACTTCGATAAATTATCATCTTCATGAAACATTACAAAATATACTGCCTGGGCCTTTATTTCTATAGATTTCAATAACTTATGATTCTTATGAAATATCATCAAAACACATATGCTTGGAAATTCCCTAGCAGTCCAGTGATTACAGCTCCGTGCTTCCACTTCTGGGGGCATGAGTTCAATCCCTAGTCAGGGAATTAAGATCCTTCAAGCATCACAGTCTTTTTTGCAGCCAAAAAAAGATGTAGAGGGGGGGAAAAAAAAAAACCCACAAATTCCTTCTGTATAATACGTGTAGGGTAAAACTCATCTGCACAAAAATTTTCTAGTCTGCATAAGTCAACTTAGTAGTTTAGTCTAAAATCTAAGAGAACTCTAGTGCCTTGAACTTAAAAGATATGCAGATCAATCCTAATGCAGACTGAAACTAACCTTAATAGCTATGTATATCAACGAGGCATTTCAAAACCCCAAAGAACAAGGGTAGCAAAAATAAGCTGCACATAAATTAGTAAGGAAGTCATATCTATACAACAAAGCCTTTAACATACCCTTAATTGCTTTGTATGTTTGCATGGATCTCTTGTTTGCAAGAGAAACTTTCTTAATTGGAGAATAAGGTAGAAAGTTGGTGAAACTCACAAGCTCACAAACAGGTAATAATTTTAAAAAAAAAAAAAAAGGAGAGAAAAATTACATTGAAAGGATAAGTTAGAGGTTCAACTAAAAAGAAACAATTATCAGAGTAATTTCAAAGCTTTTAGATTCAAAGTTCTCAGTGTATTATTCTCTAACAATGCTAAAATGAATCCGGTCATAAACAGGACAGAGATTCAAACCTAGCATTAAAACATTAAAAGTACTAGCAATTTAAACACGTTTAGTCTTTCTGCTGTATTCCTATACACTGTGTTTCTGTGATCAGTTCTGTAAAATCATAAACCATAGAACTGTTTAAATTTGCCTCTTACAAGTATATTTAGGAACAAAGACTCTGATAAGGAAGTACAGTCTCATCATTCTCACCGTTTAATTAAGAAGCTGTCCTTGGATTTTAGAAAAACGGTTCTGCAAAAAGCATCTATTAAAAACTATCGCAGATTTTACTACTCGCATAGAAGCTCAATTATGAAATCTATTTCACGGCATTTCAGATGAGACAAAAGTAAAATCAATAGTGACAACAATAACCACAAAAAACTTACTTTGATGGCTACATAACAGCATCAGTTCTATAATTCACTTGGGGAATGGCCAATAGGCAAGTTCTGCTCCCAAATAAATGTCAATAAATAAATCTTTAAGAATTTAAGTTAAATCTTACAGCTATCTTACCTTTTGAAGTCAAGAAGAACTAAGCAGATCTCATAAAATGGTTTACTTAGCCTTTTATCACCTTCCCCTCACCCACTCAACTCCAGTGACCTGGCCTGCACACTGCGGCGTGTGGGGCCTCAGTCCTGACCCCGCACGTCTTTCACACAACGCTCGTCACCAAGTCTCTCCTCAGCTGTCACCTTCTCAGAGAGGCCTCTCTGACCCCTCTGTCTAGAGAGTCCTATCTGGTTTATTCACAACAACAACCCTAGCAACCAGAACAATGTCTGACACAAGTACTCAATAAGCACTTGTTGAATGAATAAGGAGTCCTCATACAGTTTCAATAATACAAAATCAGATCTGATGATAATTTAAAAATAAGTGTGTTAGCAAAACAGAGATAAAGACAAACACCATGTGATTTCACTCATACGCAGAAACTAAAAAAAAAAAAAAAAAATGAAAACACTCAAGAAAAACTCACAGATATAAAGATTACTGCATTAACCATGAGTGGTTACCAGAAATACAGGTAGCTGGGAGGTGAGAGACATGGGTGAGGGGGTCAGCTGTGTGGTAATTAGACTTGTGATCACTCAGTAGTGTACACAGATGTTAAATTACAACACTGTACAACTGAAACTTATTTTTTTTTAAAAAAAAAACAGGGCTTGGTCAGATCATCTACAAATAATGATCTTTAGGAGGTTAAAAAATAAAAAAGACAAGTTAGTTAAAAGTAAGCCAAAGGCTTATAATCACAGATATTAAGTATTCAGTTGTGTCAAGTAAGCAATTTGTAGCATGACATTAACTACTACAATCTGTCTTTTCAGAGCATAAAACATTACATTTTAAGGACATGAGATATTATGGCAAGAACTCTCCCAAATGGAACCTCGTATCTCATCACTAACTTTAAAATCTCCAACCAAGTAGCATCCAATCTACTTGCAAGTTAATCAAAACAACTTTTATTTAAACATACTCAGCCAAAAAAAAAAAAAAAAGACACCCATGAATCAAATAAGACCCCTCAGCTCTGTCAGTACAACTGGTCATTAAAGATAAATGTCTGAAACAGAAAATACTAGAGAACACAGAGTTCCTTCAACATCTGCTACTCGCATAAAATGACTGGAACAAAAGAACCTCTGCAGTCAGAGTGACTTACCGTCACAGACTTGAGAGTCATCCCATGGTAGGTGCCCATAGTGTCAATTTTGAAACCTTCCGTTTCTGTAAAGAAAGTGAGGCTACCATTAGATTCTATATATTTTATTATAAATAGCAAATCTAAAGTAATAATCTACATTATATCTGATAGCTCAACAGAATAACAAAGCCTTGAATCTACCAGATATACAGTTAAATGACATACTTGTGAAGATGAAAACTTTCAAAGGGATACCAGTCTCAAAGATGCAAACAATACACACTAATGGGCCCAAAGTACAGAAGCTGGTTAGGACTGTCTCTACAACTGTGTTCAAGTCATACAGCTGGTTGGAAATGTAAAAAGCTAGACTGAATAAAATATAAAATATTTTCTATTCCCTGTTATTTAGTCCTAACATGAACTCTTTAACATAAAAAGCTGTGTTCCAAAGTAACAATCATCAGTACATGTTATGTAATTCGTAGAAAAGCAACACTGTAAGTATCGACAGGCACTCCAGAACAGAGTCTCAGTATACCTTTCTGTGACAGGTCAGAGAGGTAAATATTTTACACCCTGCAAACCACAGTCTCTGTCACAACTCCTGAATTCTGCAGTTGGAGTGCAAAGGCAGGGTGAACAACGTAAGTAACCAAATGAGTATAGCCTGATTCTACCCCAGGAGGCTCAGACTTGGTCTATGGGCTGTAACCTGCCAACCCCTACTTGACAAAAGTCATTCCAAGAGAAAAACTGGATAAAAGGATGAACTACTGTACTTTCTACGCCATGTGTTCAGTACGTACTTTTATCCAGCCAATGAAATAAGCACACAAAATTCACTGCATCAAGGCAACAAGCTCTTTAATAAACATATGGGGATTTCAGATTATGCAGGAAAGAAATCATAAATGCTACCCTTACAGTTGCTTCTATCTCATTTTTTCATGAATGAGATAAATGAAGAGCCCAAGAAAAGTTACACTGACATCAGTCACACCCTCACTAAGCACCTCGCGGATGTGGAAACGGCTCACTGCTAAATGAGCCATGGAGCCATCACAAAGTCAGTCCTCACGTGGCTACTGCAGTCTATGCACCCAAGTCCTCAATGCACACTACAACTGGGGAAATATGATTTGGTATGTAGTGTTTCTACCCTAAAACTAACTTCTAAGAAACAGAATTAAGGCTAACCATAGGTAGCTTATTATATACACCAGTCACTATTCTGGGGACTTTATTAACTAGTTTAATCCCCACAATAACCTGAAGAGATAGGGACTACTACTACTATCAGTATCATAATGACACACAAAAGGAAACTGAGACAGACTACTGTTAAAGTAACATCAAAACTTTTCTGTAAAATGCCGGACAGTATTTTTAGGCTTTGCAGGCCACACAATTTCTGTCACAATTCAACACTGCTGTCACAGTGCTAGAGAAGACGTGGGTAATACAAAAATGAATGAGCGTGGCTGTGTTCCAACAAAACTTAATTCAGAAAAACACATGGTGGCACAGACTTGGCCTGCAGACGTTAGCCAACTCCTGCTTCCGCACGTGAAGTCACGCTGCCTCTCAGGTTCAGCACAACCACAGCAAGGGGAAGAGAAAGATCAAGTAACTTGCCTTCTTTTCCTTTGAATCTTTCCTGGTCATATCTGTTGTAAGCAGCTGGGATAGGCTGTTTGGTACGCAATGTGGGATCCTGCAGAAAAACATCATTAAGTTATATGTCAATATTGTCTAAACTGTTACTTAATACTTATAATAAAAACCACAATAAAGCTATTGTTTTCTAAGCTTTCCTCTTAATACTTTGGCCAATAAGACCAAAACAAGAAGTAGACAAAACTGGGGAATCGTCTGAAGCTGATTTTCAAGATACTGTTTACAGCTAGAAAACCATCTCAACTAGGGAGGAGGTAAAGACCACCAAGTAAACGTGCACCAAGGCAAAAAACAAAATTCTCAGAAACTGCAGAAACAAAATGGGTGTACTTACTAATTTCATTATAATTACTTAAATTTCTTTAAAAATTAATAAACTCACTCCAATCATGAATTACTTTTCTTTAACCCATAAAATTTTTAATTCAAACCTTATATTCAACTGACATGATGGAGTCTTTTAACTGAATTATTCCCAAATTATTAATCCTTATATTAAATAATGACAATAAACCCATTTATCAATGTACAGTGTAAAGCTGAAGTTAACAAAGCTGTTTTTTTAAAACACTCAGAAAAACTTGCCAATCTAACGTATAATTGATTCAAAGATACTTTCTATAAAAGCCTGTGATAAACTAAAAGAGTATATTTAAAGAATATTCCCAAAATTGCTTGGGAAATTCATGGTATTTGTGAAGACTGAAACATGCTTCATTTTGTTACAATAGGATGCTACCCCAGTTATTATTCCAAATAAAAGATATTCATTCAAGGCTGCCACTAGGTATACACTCCCACGGTCAAATGCCAAACATTAAAATTTTCAAGTAGTTTAATGATTATGAATATTAGAGAATATTCAGTCACAAAGATAAGAGCTGAACTGTTTTAAGAGTTGATATAAGTTTCCTACCAATTGCTATTCAACAAGTCCACCCATTCATAATTATGTTCTGCCATAACAGCACCTATCACTGCTTTTTTTATTTATCTGTATGTCCCACTAGACTGCAAGTGCAAAGGAAGCTTTTCACTCTCATACATCTTATATCTCTGTCGGCACGATGCCTGACAAATAAGAGGCACTTAAAAATGTGCACCTGTGGCTGACCCATGTCGATGTATGTCAAAAACCACAACACTGCAATTATCCTCAAATTTAAAACAAAAACAAAACTGACCAGCAAGTCACCTGAAGTGTTTATCTAAATACTAGCAAAAATTCACTACCTCTAAAAGGTTAAACATCAAGAATTTCATGAACAAATAAACCTACTTACTCTTGTAAAGACTGTATTAGTACTTTACCAAATTTTGACATACTTATAGAAATTACAAAATGAAAAAGGTTTTATTTGCATGTTATTTTTCCTTTGCTGAATCTTATGAAACTGGCTTCATAGATTTCATTTATATGTGGAATCTAAAAAAAGAAAACAAATCAACAAACCAAACAAAACAGAAACAGACTCACAGAAAGATGCAGAACAAACTTCTGGTCATTACAGGGGTTGGGAGGAGTTGAAGCAAAACAAGTAAAAGGGATTAAGAGGTACAGACTTCCAAGTATAAAATAATTAAGTCACAAGGATGCAATATACAGCATGGGGAATACAGCCAATAATATTGCAATAACTCTGTATGGTAACACATGGTTACTAGACTTCTGGTTCTGATCAATTTGCAATATATATAAATGTCAAATCATTGTGCTGTATACCTGAGAAAATATAATTTTGTATGTCTCAATTCTATAATAAATAAGCAAATAAATATTTAAAGATGTTTTCAATATTACAACACTGAATAATCACTTTTAATAAAACTACTACAGAAGCAAGAAAATGTTCTTACAACAGGGGCTGCATTTGGGGCCGGTCGCTGTTCGGGTGCACGCCCTTCTTCTCTGGCCTTTACCGACTGAAGAATTGCAAAAATATTCTTGGAAAAATTCTGCAACAGAAATGGATTTCGATTATTGAGTCCACTTAAAATTAAATAGTCAAAGAAAAAAAAAAAAAAAAATTAAATAGTCAAAGACAATAAATTTACTTAATAAACAATTTCAGATTCATTTTCTCTATTAATTCCTCCCTTACTACATCATAATGAAGCATGATTACTACACACAAAAGTAAAAATCAACTACTACTAAGAAATTCATCCGAAGACCAATTATTATAAACCCAATGTTATTCACTTATTTTCATTTTACTTAAATACATAACTGGCTATAAATTCACCCATATTCTTCATTTATTCAAAAAATGTAAGCAGGAAACAAGGTAACATTTAAAAACAATAAAAGTAGAGCACATTTGTTGTCAAGGGGGCTTCTTAGTTCTAGAAGAAATTAATTCTTCTGAAAGAAATCAACTATTAAAGTTTCTTCTTGATAAAACTCCATGGTAATTTCAGACTGCTACACTTTATAAGAGATGTTGAAAATTCCAAGATACTGTTTGTTAGGAGTCAACATGCACTTTTCAAAGCTGTGTAAGTTGGAAAGATTTTTAAAAACATAACAACTTTTACATGAACAACCTTAGCAACATTGGACAAAGCTGACAAATCTGACCACTCCTTCATGAAATATTCTTCTTTCACCCAAGACGCTCCCTCAGTTCCCTTGGTGCTCTTTTAACTCTGCCTGTTAATCACTTACCATTTTAAGCAACATTCTGTCTCCTGTTGAAGAATGATAACCTTTGTGAAGGCCAGGACCAAGGCAACCCCAGACAGTGCCCCCATGTGCCTGCTGGTGGACGTTACATAAACCTTACACAAATAAACATGGATACGAGAGGAGAGACAGCCCGAAACATAACTTTAACCACTGCCATAGTAATAGTACTTACTAGTTCCTATAATTCTTTAGGACAACAAACATACATCTCACAACCACTTACTCTTAAAAATTATGGCACACTCCAAAGAGACTTTGTTTATATAGGTTATAATATTTTTCAAATTAGAGATCTGAATTCAAATATTTTAAAAATATTAATTCCTTCAAAAATGAGGGGAAAAGGTATTCCAAGTAAAAATAACTTGTTTTTATGAAAAATTATTTTCCAAAATGCACAAAATGTTAATGACAAGAAAGTGTGACACTATGTTAAACTTAGGAAACTGCTATGGCCTCAGTAGCAAAAAGAAACCTCCCAAATTCTTTCTTTTAACTGACAAAAAAATACTGTCAGTTCCATTTCTTGAAGCAATAGTCTTTCCTCCCTCATTTTCCAAAAAATGTCAAATGCACATGTGCTTTTCACGGAGACAGTCATTGTATTTTGGTATGCAGAAGTGCTTTATATGTTCTGCTTTGTATGTTCTGATCTCATCATAGAAAGTACTGGTAAGAATATACTTAAAGGTTAAGATTTAATAAAATTAGTGAATTTTTAAAATTTCATCAAGGACATCATTAGTGGTGAAGAACAAAACGGCTACTAGCAAAGATTGGTGCCAATGCTTTAATTCACGCCAAGATGCCAGCAGTTGACTAACCACTTCTTTTGCACCAGCAGGGCGAAGGTCAACACAGTGACAAATGCAAATAAAATCTTAATCCTATTAAGAAAATAGCTGAAAACATGAAAAGCAAATTTCACTATTTTAAAAATAAAGCATTTCATGAGAGACTCAAACTCTAGAAAAAAATTAAAATGTTACTAGCTATTTTTATGTGGTGGAATTACAAGTGATTATTATACCTTCCTTTTAGTGATCTTTTATCAAGTTTTCAACAATGACTATATATTAGTGTGCGTAAATTTAAAAGTATGTCTTAAACAGTATTATAAAATTAGACTTTTTTTGTGAGGTGCTTACAATAGAATTTTGAAAAGACAGCTTTTGCTCAAGAAACTCAGCAAATAAGGAAACCCTGATATATGGTAATAATGAAGATCTGTTTAAAATCATAGGGCCTTTCAGGGCAATAAGCAACTAAAAGTTTTTTGCTTTTTTTTTTTAAGAGTTTGTCAGATGCAAACAGTATACAGAGGGACTACCAGTCAAAATTGTCATTTTGATTTTTAAAAACGTTAATACTCACAGAAGCAAACCTAGTTAAAAAACAGCTCTTCTAAAGCTAACTTATTTTTAAATTACACATTGGTGCCAACAACGCTGAATTCTACTACAACACTTAAGTTTTGAAATGGTGGTACACTCCTGCCACCTAGAGCTCAAAGAAACTTTTCATTTCAAAAATTACAATGAATACTGGTAGAACAATATAAGTAATAATACTTAACTATCAGCCACCCTAGGCATTAAAAATGAGTATTAACAGATCTATCTATGAGGGCTTCCCTCATAGCTCAGTGGATAAGAATCCACCTGCAATGCAGGAGATGCCAGTTTGATTCTTGGGCTTCCCTGGTGGCTCAACTGGTAAAGAATCCGCCTGAAATGTGGGAAGCCTGGGTTCAATCCCTGAGTTGGAAAGATCCCCTGGAGAAGGGAAAGGCCACCCACTCCAGTATTCTGGCCTGGAGAATTCCATGGACCATACAGCCCATGGAGTCGCAAAGAGTCAGACACGACTGAGTGACTTTCACTTTCACTTTCTTTCATCAACAAATCACTTAAATACAAAACTTAAGGTTTACTCATGTTCTCAGATTCCTTTCTAATTCTAAGCTCTGGAGAATGATTCTTAATCTTGACATCAGTTCAGTTCAGTCGCTCAGTCGTGTCCAGCTCTTTGCAACCCCATGAACTGCAGCAGGCCAGGCCTCTCTGTCTATCACCAACTCCTGGAGTTCACTCAAACTCACGCCCATCGAGCTGCTGATGTGATCCAACTATCTCATCCTCTGTCGTCCTCTGTCGTCCCCTTCTCCTCCTGCCCCCAATCCCTCCCAGCATCAGGGTCTTTTCCAATGAGTCAACTCTTTGCATCAGGTGGGCAAAGTACTGAGTTTCAGCTTCAGCATCAGTCCTTCCAATGAACACCCAAGGACTGATCTCCTTTAGGATGAACTGGCTGGATCTCCTTGCAGTCCAAGGGACTCTCAAGAGTCTTCTCCAACACCACAGTTCAAAAGCATCAATTTCTTGGTGCTCAGCTTCCTTCACAGTCCAACTCTCACATCCATACATGACCACTGGAAAAACCATAGCCTTGACCAGATGGACCTTTGTTGGCAAAGTAATGTCTTTGCTTTTTAATATGCTATCTAGGTTGGTCATGACTTTCCTTCCAAGGAGTAAGTGTCTTTTAATTTCATGGCTGTGCAGTCACCATGTGCAGTGATTTTGGAGCCCCCCAAAATAAAGTCTGATACTGTTTCCACTGTCTCCTCATCTATTTCCCATGAGGTGATGGGACCAGATGCCATGATCTTAGTTTTCTGAATGTTAAGCTTTAAGCCAACTTTCTCACTCTCCTCTTTCACTTTCATCAAAAGGCTTTTTAGATCCTCTTCACTCTCTGCCATAAAGGTGGTGTCATCTGCGTATCAGGTTATGAAAGTGAAAAGTGAAAGTGAAGTCGCTAAGCCATGTCCAACTCTTTGCAACCCCATGGACTGTAGGCCACCAGGCTCCTCCATCCAAGGGATTTCCCAGGCAAGAATACTGGAGTGGGCTGCCATTTCCTTCTCCAATCTGAGGTTATACTGCTCTACGAAACAAGTCAAAGTACAAGAGAAAAAAATTCTTCCCTTCATATATTCTTTTCCAATAGCTATTCTACTAAAATAGCACAGTAAACTTAGGGCCAGAATCCAAAAAAATGTGCAAACAAAACGAGTCTGCCTAGACCAATGACGAAGTTCACTTTCTTCAATACTCTCACAACTTCTAAAAAATCTTCTCACCAAATCATCACTGTGAACTGTGTCTCAGTGAAGAATTAACATTTAAGAGAAAATTCAGATGTGTGGAAGGAAAAGAGAGGTGAAAATAGGTAAGTGAAACAGAAATGATTCAACCTTTTTGGAGATATATTAAGATACTGAATATCCAGTATCTTTCAACTTCTTATCTTTCAAAATTTAAAGTACATGTCTCCTTTAACCAGCAATTGGCTTCCAGGAATTAATCCCTCTGCTATGTAGTCATAAATGCATGAAGGTGTTATGTACAAGGATTTTTTTAATGCAGTTGTTTATAATCACAAAAGGAAACGAGAGAAGACAGGAGGAGGAAAAAAGGGGAAAGGAAATGAAGAAAACCCACCATCCTGCAGCCAAACACAATTCTATTAATGAGGAACAAGCAAACACTGCCACAACCACCCAACAGAAGAGAATGTATCAAATACACCCAATAAATGTTTGTTGGGCCATTTTCATTAAGTTCTCTACTTTGTGAGGAAAAAAACTAATACTGGTATTAATGACCAGGGAGCTTACCATCAATAGTCCCTGTTCACTAGGTTTAAGCAAAAAATCTCACCAATAAGAAAACTGTAAATCTCTTTGGATTTACAAACAAGGTGGAAAGGAAGGGACTCGCACTTTGACTCAGACTTTTTCATCAGTTTCTCTGGTGACCAACCACCAACCATACACTAGCATGGAATGCAAAACAGGTCAGTTAGAAAGCTAAATGATTACTGCTCTCTTAGATACAAATCTGAAACTTCCTCCTCACAGGAAATTTTAACCAACTTTAAAATCAACTGTAGTTGAAATACATACAGAAACTAACAAACAAGAAGTAAAATATTTTAATTACCTTTCCTGTGCTCTGTAAAATAGTTGTTCGCGTCCGCCACACTCTTTCTCTGCTGACAATATCTCGGGTCACATCTACTTCAGCGTCCACAAAACTCCTCTGTTTCAGGGCAGTTATATCATCATCCAAGTCAGTCTTAATAGTAGATCTTTTCTTAGCCATAATTTTCGCTTTGATTGCGGCAATTTTTTCCACTGACATAGCTTCGGACAGAGACCTGAAAGCAACATCTTATTTAATATTCACAGCAAGGATCTCTTGAGCACACTATAAAATGTTTTGTTACATTTACAACTTCCTGGTGATAATACTTTAAGTGGCAATAATTAAGATTTCCTCCGTATATATAAAACTGACACTCTTGATAACTTATGACCATGTAAGAGTCAACACAAAAATACTACACTATAAGCAAATCAGTGATTTCTTAGGAGGAATAATGCAAAATATTTTTCCTATTTTTAAAAATCTCTTCCCCTACCCAAATAATTCATTAATACACCCTTTCTGATTGATCACCATCAACCAATCAGAAAATTCTGCACAAGCTGATCACATACCCTGGGACACCCCTCCCTCACTCTGTCTTTAAAAATACTTTGCTGAAACCCATCAGAGTTTGGGTTTTCTGAGCACAAGCCACCTATCCTTCTTGTGTGGCCCTGTAATAAACCTTTCTCTGCTCTCCCTCCACAAAAAAGCTTTTTATATGAGACTTCTATTCGCTAACCCTCCATCCTGCATGGAAATCACACACACACACAAACATCCCCACACCCATAAGCATGTGCATACAACACCTTGAGTGGCGGGGAAAAAAATTTCATTCCATAAAGAATCCAAAGTTTAGGTTTTCCTTGAAATTTATTTCAAGGTTTAAAGCTATGTTATAATGTACAACATATCAATTTTACAGCTGACAAGAGACATTTATGTGCCACATAAACATATATTAAAGTCTGGAAGATAAAACAATACTTTGAAGTTCTCATTTTCCTTCTTTTACTTCATTTTCAAAAAGCACTGAAATAGCAAACAGAAGCTATGCTTTCAGAAGTAACAAAGAAAACACACTTAACAATGAAAGTACAGATTTCATTAAAATGATAAGCTTAGTGTCATTTATCACAACGTAAAAACAAGAAAAAGAGTTTGAATACCTTAACAGTAACTGATAAAATTATTACTCTAATCACAAGATGACAATCTTGAAATATGTTTAAACAACATGTGGGGAAAAGACAGGAATTCCTACAGGTTTAAACATGGTAGTATTATGTAGTATGTTATTTATTTCCATTAGGTATGAAAGTACTTTATAGCAGACGCTCAACATGTATCAGCATTTGACTCATTTTATATAATACTATGCAACTTTCACTTAAAATCTAAAGCACACCAGCATGCCTTGAGCCAGATTCAAGCACTTTTCTAAACTATAATCAAAACATACACTGGACAAGCACTGGAGTTTTACATCCAGTCAAGATTAAGTTAACCCTCCTACCTTGAAACAATCAGTCAAATATATGAAACAGTAGTTTACTCGTTATCTGCTATAAAGTAATGAAAGACAATGATCTCTCACACATGAAAACCAAGTAAGCAAGCCCTGGTAGCTTGCTGGTTAACCCTCCTACCTTGAAACAATCAGTCAAATATATGAAACAATAGTTTACTCGTTATCTGCTATCAAGTAATGAAAGACAATGATCTCTCACACATGAAAACCAAGTAAGCAAGCCCTGGTAGCTCAGACGGTAAAGTGTCCGCCTACAATGCGGGAGACCCAGGTTTGATTCCTGTGTCAGAAGATCCCCTGGAGAAGGAAATGGCAACACACTCCAGTATTCTTGCCTGGAGAATCCCATGGACTGATGGTCCTGGTAGGCTACAGTCCATAGGGTCGCAAAGAGTCGGATACGACTGAGCAACTTCACTTCACTAAGCCCTATGAAGGCTGCAATTTACAGCCTTGAAAGTTCCCAACACGGCACGGGGAGAACTCAGGCAAAACTTCCCACATATCCTGATTTGAGAAAACAGAGCTGGGATTCCAGCAAGGTCAAAGAGTACAGGGACTCAGAGGCCCGAGTGCCTGAGAAGAGAGAGCTGCACAGGCCCCCTCGAGTACTCTGGCAGATGACTGATGAGCCCGTAAGTAGTTGGAAACTAAAGCGAGGAACAGAACCACCTAGAGGGAACAGAGTCCAGCACCCACACAGGATGAAGAGCAGAACCTAGTCCCACCAGCCAGACTGAAAACCTCCTATTTACGAGGTGTTAGATGGAGTAACAGTCAAAATGGTCCTGGCTCAACAACGTTGGGCAGGAACTACCCTAACTATGCACTGTTCAAACAACAATTCTTAAACCCTAACTAAACACTGTTCAAACAACAATTCTTCCAATTAAAAAATGGAGACTCAAAAGGAACAAACTGCTTCAAAGGATTAACTATGTCCCAAAACAAAACGAAAGAAAATTCAGAAAAACACAAAAACATCCAGCATGTAACAACGTAAGATGCACAGTGTCTGGTATCCAAACAGTACAAAGCATATAAAGGAGCAGGAAAATGTGAACCAGAATGAGGAGAAATCTAAACTGAAAACAACTGCAGGACTGGAAAAGGCATCAAAATAATACAACCATTCCATACATTCAACAAATAGAGACATGGACTATATATTTAACTTGTAAGGGTAAAAAATACAATGTTCAAGACTACCAATACAATATGAATATAATTACATGAGAAAATATGAATTACATACAGAACTACAGAAATTATCCAAAAAAAAAAAAACAGAAAAAAAAATCAATCCCAAAAAAAGAGAAGAACATAAGAGAGCTGTTGAACAATTATGAGTACGAGTAATTAGGTCAGAAAGGGGAGAAAAGGGGGAAAAAAAACTGAGGAAGCAGAAGCAAAGCTTTTCTAAATTCACTGAAAATTATGACCCAAAATCCCCTCAAAAACTCAAGCACAAGAAACATGAAGAACACTCTCCCAAGTTATGTGATAATTAAGGAGTCCCAAGCCTACAATACAGAAAACTTTTTAAGTAGTCAGAGGAAAAAAGCCACATTTAAAGACACAAAAGAGAATTCCCCAGTGGTTCAGTGGTCAGGACTCCATGCTTTCACTGCCAAGGACCCCAGGTTCAATCTCTGATCAGGGAACAAAGATCCCACAAGCCACGAGGTGCTGCCAAGAAAAGATAAAGGGGTAACAGCAGATTTTTAACCAGAAACAATGCAATCAAGGAGACAGTGGTGTATCACACTTCAAAAAGAAATAGTCTGGATTCCATATCCAGTGAAAATTTTTAAAAAAAGGTGGGGGGGGGGGGGTTCTGAAATAAAAATGTTGAAAGAAACAGCAGCAGTCCTAAACAGAAAGAAATGTTAAAAGAACGTTAAATTTAAAAAAAAAAAACAAAAACAGTAAGTCAGTCAGGCCAAAGAGAAAAAAAAAATGGGTACACAAGTCTACAACAGGGAAGAAGAGGCATGGAAGTAGCACACAGAATTCTCCCTAGATGTTTAAACAAGAGTAAGAACAATGCACTGTGGTGTCTGGGACACGTGCACTGAGTAATACGTATGACAAGAGCAGCACGAATGCCGAGAGCAGGAAGCCCTGGTGCTGAGGTCCCTGCACCGCACACAGGCAGCAGGCACTGCAGGCAGACCGCGACGCCACAGGCCACACGCAACGAACCCCAACAACCACCCGAACAGAACCGCAGCACACTACTCAGCCAACAAAAGGCTACAACAGAATCACAGCGTATACTCATTTAGTCCAAAATTAAGTTAATCTCCATTTCAGGGAACAAAATTTTCAAAGAACAAAGAGACAAACAGAAAACAATAGCAAATTATTGACCTAGAATTAAGCATGTTAATAATCACATTAAATGTAAATATTTAACATACAGTACTTTACAGGAAAAGTCTGCTGACCACTGCTATAAACCAACAAGACATTTCATGATAAATGAGTGGCTTGGATTATGGAATAATTTTTAAAAAGATCAATATGGTAACAGAATCAAGAAACTTCCAGAAAGCATAAGCAGCACAATGGCTTTCAATCCTCCATCAGAAAAAATACTCGAGCATCTTCTTTCAAACTGAGGGCAGGGAGACACATGCTGAAGAATGCAATATATGTAGACAGCATGTTAATACCCCTTGTTTCCACATACACTTAAATATACTGCCTAAATTGCCTATTTTCTACCAAAGAAATTCTTACCTGATCTGTTCAGTCTGTACAATCCCTTCTTTGTGACCCTCCAAACGAGCAGCCAATCTCTCTTTATCAAGGCGTACACACTCTTCATCCTGAAAATAATCAGTCAGTAAATATTTTAAAATTTTACTTAACTTTTAGAACAACAAAAACAGCATAAACACTGCACGTAACTTTTACCAAAGTTCCCACCTTTAAAGTCCCAGGCATCACTGGCCTTGGGTCAATTTTAAAATACTTTTAGTTACATAAAGAACTGACTCATTGGAAAAGACCCTGATGCTGGGAAAGATTGAAGGCAGGAGGAGAAAGGGACGACAGAGGATGAGATAGTTGGATGGCATCACCAACTCGATGGACATGAGTTTGAGTCAACTCTGGGAGTTGGTGGTGGACAGGGAAGCCTGGCGTGCTGCAGTCCAGGGGGTCGCAAAGAGTCGGACACGACTGAGCGACTGAACTGAACATAAAAACAATCACAAATGTATGCTGGAGCACCTAAGATTAGAACTGAAAAATTACAAATAAACTTTATTAAGTTTTTCCTATGACTAAGGCTTCTTTTATAATATATCATAGCTACTCTTACTCAGAAAGATAATATACAACAAAAAATTCCTTCTCCTCAGAAAAGCTTATAGCTAAATTTTATCAGTCCTAAATGTTCATTGGAAGGACTGATGCTGAAGTTGAAACTCCAATACTTTGGCCTCCCGATGCGAAGAACTGACTCACTGGAAACGACCCTGATGCTGGGAAAGACTGAAGGTGGGAGAAGGGGATGACAGTGGATGAGATAGTTGGATGGCATCACGGACTCAATTGACATGAGTTTGAGCAAGCTCCGGGAGATGGTGAAGGACAGGGAGGCCTGGCGTGCTGCAGTCCATAGGGTCGCAGAGTCAGACACAACTGAGTGATTGAACTGAACTGATGAGAAGCCTTCACCACAGTCAAGACTTTGGATCCAGATGGTTTTCGTATGTTGCCCCAGGTCCTGAATCTTTCAGCACAGAACAACACCAGAAGTGAAAGCTGAATGTTTTTCAAAGGACCTTCTTCAGAACACCAGGCACTTCCTACAAAGTGCCCATGAGCCACTCATACCTGACTTCAACCTTTGCAACTCAGCTTCTACCTTATTTAGGTATCAGAATCTCAAGTAAAAGTTAAGTCTGAAAAGTGTTTGGTTACTTAAAAAACAAAACATACTAACTCTGATCTAGTATAATACCTACATTCAACAAATGAGAAAACTGAGAGCCAGAGTCAGTGTCTATGGCTAACAAATATGAAATTGTATAAAATCCATCAGTAGCTTCTAGAGATCCAGAGAAATGTCGTGCTCTAACATGGTCTAACCATGTTAAACTCAAAACAGCCATCTTGCCGGGGTGAATGCAAAGATTAATATCTCAACAAATGTGTTAAATACACCTAAAATAAAGGTTTAACACATATTACTCAAGTTCCTTAAGAGACTGATTTTAAAGACAACTGCAGCCTAGGTTTCAACCAGATCCCAAAGTTTCTCTCTGCTAGCACAGTGCCTAGCAGGCCCTCAACAGATATTTACTGAACTGAAAACTCTCGGTGTGTAATATGGCTATTTATGTAATTCATTCTAACTCTACAAATACTCTGGAAAGAATTCTATTATGCTATTTCTTGTTGGTCTTTAAAGTTATCAGAATCCTAGCAAATCTTCAATTCTGATATTCAACTCTTTCAAATAATTAAACCATGAATTTCAGTTTTCCCCAATAAATCATATCTTTAAATTCACTTATTTTGTACACAATGTGTTACAACCTCCTTTCACACACAAACAGTTGTGGAAAATTTCAGTTTTGCTACCACAAAATCTGTACCCAGCAGAGGGGAACACCCAGGAGCCAGACTTCCCGGGCTCTAATCCCGGTTATGTGTGCCCCAGCAAGTCACTGCTCTCTCAGCCTGTGAGCTCACAGATGACATGTGTGGTCCTGCCAACTTCAGGAGGTGATGGTGAGGATTACAGGAGTTAATGATGTACATGAAGTACACAGAGTATCACCCGGCGCAGAACAACAACGAGCTAATTATCTTTATCATTATCTGAAAAAACAAGTCTCAGAGTACACTGAAGCAAAATTACATAATCTTGGCATCATATTTTGTCAGTGATTCTACTGTATATATTTACCAACCAACCTTGCCCCTAAGAGTTACTTTCCTTATCCTTCTCTAACTGTGGATGCTTTGCTGTTCATGAAGCAGGCAAAGGTACAACTATTTGATTGTTACACAAGTGTCAAATGAAAAGACTTACAGTTTCTAGTAATGTTAACCCTACCAGTGATTACAAGTGTTATTCCTATACTGATCATTTATTTACAGCCAATTTAATCATTTCTCAGATTTTAAGCAAACCTCTAATGCATGATCTTCCATTTTCAGAGTGTTTATATGTAACTGATCTGATGCTTCTTACAAACTTAAATAAACAGTACTATAATTATACAATTTAAATTCCTAACATTTTAAAACTTCATAAAGTTTTAAGACAACTGAGCTAGTCAATGAATTATCTTTTCCACATTTACTGCATTTCTTACAGGGTTCTATTCAACATGAACTGTCCTTGTTTACCAACAGTAATATTCCACTTGCTGGCTATAAAATACTACCAAATCATCTAACCTGATAAGTCAACATTGGAAAAAGTAACTGTTCACAGCTCTTCAGAGGGGAGCAAACTCCCACACCACCTTATTCCAAGGGAAACTGAACCACAACACAAGGCCCATCGCCCGTTTTATGAAGTTTTTTTGGAGTACAGCCTCGCCACGTCATTCACGCACTGCTCTGCCTACAGGGCAGAGGGGAGGGGCTGGATGAAGACAAGGCCCCAAAAGCCTGAAGGAGGGCCTATCTGGCCCTTTATAGAAAAAGGCTCTGACTACCATCTAGTCCAACACTTTCATCAATAAGGATATAAAGGCAAAGAAAATAATTTGTCCAACATGCCGCCTGTATGTGAGAGATCTTATAGAATGTAAGAGCTCAAGCTACTTATTAATCAACTGTCAATATAACCACTTTTCAAGAAAAAAAGCTCTTAGGACTACGATGAGCAAAGAATTCTTACTACTACACAATTCCAATCTCCCATTAAAAAAAAAAAAAAAAGAATCACTTTAAAAATAAAGTTCTATTACCTCAATTCGTGGTTTTTTTGCTTCTGCCAAAACTTCATCTGCAGCTCGTTTGACTGTAAGAAAAAAAGAAATTAATGTACAGTTTGGGGATAGGTGTTTGAAAGTTCAGTATAAACATGAAACAAGACATACCTTGAGTAGATCTCTGCAGACCTATTTCTAGAGGGGCACTTCTGTCTATACTGGCCGATGTTGCTGAAGATTTAAAAAGATACGTGAGAGGATAAATATTTGAATATGTAGATTAGATATTAATGCAAGGGAAATACTCAAGATCTGTTACATTTCTTACTTAATATAGGATTATGTCTCTTAAAAAACTGTTTTAAAGCAAGTTTGTAAAACCATTTTATTATAAAAGATTGACCTGTAATAGAAAGTACGTTAAGAGGTCAAACTATTTTTGACCATTTAAGTTACAATCTGACCGAAATCAGCTACAAAGAACATACTCCCACATAATACAATGTAGGTATGTAAAAATGTAAGAAAACATAAATAAAAATATAAATGTATGTATTAATTCACGAGGGATCAACATTAGAGCACACCTCTGAATCAGGAGGCGAGTAGTAAGTCATGTGACAATGTGAAACAAAGTGTAACACAGAGGGAATGGCAAGTGCATAGGATCTAAAGTCAGAAAAGCTACAAGAACCAGGAAAACTGAGAGCCAAAGAGGTCACAGAGATGAGCAGAAACATGACTGTGCAGGTCAGGGAAGGAGGATGAGCTGTATTCCAAGTGTGATGGGAAGGTGCAGGACCGCCTTGAGCAGGTGAGTGACACGATCAAGTTCAGATGCTCTTCAAAAACAGGTCCCTCTAAGTGGTGATCAGAGACTACACGAACAGCAAGGACCTTCAAGAGGGCTGTGCAATGGTCCAAGGAAGAAGGTGGATCAGGGTGGTCATCCGATGCTAAGAACCTGTCATGCTTTCAAAGATAAAGAAAGGACTTGGCTGGTGGAGCTGGTGTAAAGGATGTGAGCTGTGACAGTATAGGAATCAAAGATTTCTCTAGGGTTTGCAGCCTAAGCCACTACATGAATGGGGGACCATTTGCTGAGATGGGAACACTGGGAGACCAGACCTGCTCTTTCATTGTCTGTGAGGAGAAGGGAAAGAGGGAGTCGGCACTCTATTTAAGATATGTTACATTTCAGACGCCTGTTCAATACCCAAGAGAAGATGCTGACAGTCAATTTATAAATGTGAAGCTCAGTAACACGACAATGTTGGAGATAAGGAATCAAGAAAAAAAAAAAAAGTGAGGTGGACAATGAATAGAAAGAGAACCTCAAGAGTCTGCTGCCCCAAATGGCAAGTCAAGAAAAGCTTTCCAAAGGTGAGTAAGCAGTCAACAGTATCAAATGCTACGAGGTCAGGTTAGCTGTGAAAAGCAGACACCAAAGGATCGACCAATCATGCATCAGCATTGACCTTATAAGAGTGATTTGAGTGAGACAGTGAGGAAGAAAGTTAGACTAAGGTAGACTCAAGAGAGAATCAGAGGTAAAGAGGAAGCAGTGATACCACGCAACTCTTGCAAAGAATTTTGTAACAAAAAGGAGAAGAAAACTGGAGCAGCAGAGAACAGGAAGCACGTGTGTGCCAAGTCTACTCAGTTGTGCTCCACTTTTTGCAACCCCATGGACTCCTCTGTCCATGGGATTCTCCAGGCAAGAATACTGGAGTGGGTTTCCATTTCCTCCTCAGGGGATCTTTCCTACCCAGAGATAGAACCTGCATCTTATGTCTCCTGAATTGGCAGGCAGGTTCTTTACCACTAGCACCACCTGGGAAGCCCAGCAAATAGGAAGGAGGGAGTTTAAAAAAAGTTTTTAATGAGAGATATTACTGTGTACATCCTAAAGGGAATGATTCAGAAGAGAACTGACGACGCAAGAGAGAAGCAAAATTTACAAAGGAAAAGTCTCTGAGAGAGCAAAAGGCGATGGACTCCATATGCAGGGAAGGGCTAGCTGGTCCTAGGAGTAAAGTACATACATGGTAACAAGAAAGAGAAAGCAGCGCGTGGACAGAGTTGCAGGTAGGGGAAGTTTATAATGAGCATTCACAATCTCTCCCCACTGATTCTTATTTCACAGGGAGTGGAAACCAATGCCTGTTTAAGAGTGAGAGCAACTTAAAAACTACTCACATGCTTCACCATTGAGATATCCGAGTAGATCTTTTCGGTCAGGTCTTCTAACCACTGGAATATTTTCAGTCTAAAGCCAAAATTTTTAAATAGATATCAAATCAATAACAATTATAAGAAACTTTAGTAAAGTTAAACAACATTTAACACCTGAATTTTATTCCAACTTATCTTGGCAACATATATTAGAATCATATTTCTAGAAAATAACCAGACAGAACAAATCTAATAAAATCTTGAAAATGTTTAAGCATATTAATGTTTCGTAACTTTATTCTCAAAATTCCAGTAACATATACAAAAGATAACCATTAGAAATGAAACAATAACCCTAACCCTCTTCAAAATACCTATTATATTCTTATTTTTTCCCTTGGATTATTCTAAGCATTTATTAATTCTACTCATGATGTTTTGGATTTAGTCCCATAGACTGCTCATTTTATTTAAGGTTTCCAAAGTGCCTTTGTTTCTCACACCCTAACCACACCTCCTCAAAATATGATACCTGAACTCTTTCAAATAAACTAAATTAGCCACTAAAACTAAATTTTCGTAATTAACAGTAAGTACATGTCCCAAGAATATACACTGGGGAAAAGACAGGCTTTTCAATAAATGGTGCTTGGAAAACTGGACTGCTATAGGAACAAGAATCAAACTGGGCCACCTTCTTATAACATATACAAAAACAAACTCAAAATGGATTAAATACAACAATAAAACTCCAGGAGAAAATACAGGCAGTGTGTTCTTTGACATGAATCTTAGCATTATTTTTCTGGATCTGCCTCCTCAGGTAAGGGCAACAAAATAAAAAAATAAACAAATGGACTACATCAAATTAAAAAGCTTTTGCACCATGAAGGAAACCATCAACAAAATGAAAAGGCAACCTCCTGAATGGCAGAAGATATTTGCAAACAATATATTCAATAAGGGATTAGCCTCCAAAACAGAATAACTCACACAACTCAACATCAAAAAACAATCAATCCAATTATGAAGTCATGGGAATGTAATGCATAACATAAGGAATATAGCAAATAATACTGTAAACATGTTGTATGATGACAGACAGTTACCAGCTAGACTCACTGTGGTGATCAAGTCACAATGTATATAAATGTAGAGTCACTATGTTGTACACCTGAAACTACTACTGCATGCTGACTATACTTCAATAAAGAAATGACTAAAAAACAGGTATGTGTTGTTTAGGCATGGGAAAAAATTTAGGAGACTATACAGTAAAATGTTAATGACGGCTGTTTACTTTCTACATTACATCTCTTTTCTTACCCTTGAGTGTGTGTAAATTTTGTAAGCAGGAGAAAAAGAGTAAAAAATTAAATCTGGAAAATGTGTCTATTGTGCTAAATGAGTAGTTTTCCTTTATTCTCTGTTAGCAATTTGTAAAGAGGTGAGCAAAACAAATAAAACTATATACTTCAGGCACCAAGTCGTCCTTGGACGATAAACTCAGTGAATTCTGTCATTACCACAGTTTTCCCCACAGTCTGTGGGGAATGTAACGTAAACAAACAATGGCAGGGTACAGGGAAAAGCTGGTTGCAGGATTACAGTTATAAACGCTCTGTTACTCTATATAGGCAACAGTGAATAAGCACCCTTAATGTTTTGGCTAATTACCTTATACTGAATACTGACCACATTTTAGTGCACCAAATATTCTGCACATACAACTTGATGATACGAGATAAACGATATTTAATCACTTGAAATTAATTTGTTTTTTAAAAGTTAGGTTAAATTTTAATTTCTGCTTATGAGTATAAACAAGTAAGAGCGCACAGGTTTTGGGCTTGTTTTTAAAAACTAGTCTACATGGACTACCATTAATAGTTAAAAGATTTGAATTTTTTTTAAATTACTATATCTAAGTTTGAAAATACACTTGATCACTTAGTCACTAATGAATTATTATGTTATCATCAACAGAAAATACGGGCTATGAGTCAGGAAAAGTTGTTTCAGAAAGTCTGCTCAAAAGAGCAAGCAACAAAGGAGTTAAAAATTTTGTAGAACCCTACTTTCTAAATTTTACCCTTTCAATCTAGCAAATATTCAAGAGAAATGATAGTTAAACCTTATGTGACCAAAGGTCCTAAGGACCACAGTAACAATTAGGGCATCAGTTATGTGCTATAGTCATTCCCCAGAAATATAATGTAAACCTAACTAAGAGTCTGAACTATCTTTATTACCTCAAAATGAATGGACCTATTCAACAAAACATTCTAATCAGTGCCTGATTTCATTTTTAAAGATCTTAGTTAACATAGCTTTATAGAGCAAGATGCTTGTATTTTATACCACAATTTCCCAAGTCACAAATAATTTCACCCCACATATTGCATTTTTCAGTACACACTTGACACTAAATATATATTTCTTGTTCAGAGAAGCAGTGTTCAAGCACTGAGGGAGAAAGCAGGCACATTTCAAGCATCTGAAAACAAATAAATTTATCAATAATGAATAAAGTTTGTTGATTAAAAATTCATTTTAAAAAGCCGTCTACTGGGACTTCCCAGTCCAGTGGTAGGGACTCTAATCCCTGAAAAAAGGAAAAAAAGGGGGTAGGGGGGGAAGCTGTCTACTAACTTGACTCTTTTTGATGCCAAAAAATCCTTTCTTCTTTGAGATTGAACTAGAACTCCAAAATCACTGCAGATGGTGACTACAGTCATGAAATTAAAAGACGCTTGCTCCTTGCAAGAAAAGCTATGACCAACCTAGACAGCATATTAAAAAGCAGAGATATTACTTTGCCAACAAAGATCCGTCTACTCAAAGCTATGGTTTTGCCAGTAGTCACGTATGGATGTAAGAGCTGGACTATAAAGAAAGCTGTGTTCCAAAGAATTGATGCTTTTGAACTGTGGTGTTGGAGAAGACTCTTGAGAGTCCCTTGGACTGCAAGGAAATCCAACCAGTCCATCCTAAAGATCAGTCCTGAATATTCATTGGAAGGACTGATGCTGAAGCTGAAACTCCAATACTCTTGCCACCTGATGTGAGGAACCGACTCATTGGAAAAGACCCTAATGCTGGGAAAGATTGAAGGTGGGAAGAAAAGGGGATGACAGAGGATGAGATGGTTGGATGGCCATCACCGGTATGACGGACATGAGTTTGAGTAGGCTCCGGGAGTTGGAGATGGACAGGGAGGCCTAGAGTGCTGCAGTCCATGGGATCACAAACAGTCGGACATGACTGAGCAACTGAACTGAACTGAACTGAACTGAAACTAGAGTTCTGAGTATCAGGATCTTCCCACAGGCTTACTCAATTTTTAAAACATCCCTAAAAAACAACTCTGAAATACCTACTGCTATAAACATTACCCACAACTCACAAGTTTAAAAAAAAAAAATCACAAATTAAAAAAAATCCACATAAATTAAATTGATCTATTTTTGACCCTCCAGGAGACTTTCTTACAGATAAACCTTTCATTCTTTTGATCTGAAACTCATCAGGGAAGTTATCACCAAATAGGATCAACTATCAAATTCAAAACAAGTCTCTAAATGAATTATACTTACAGCTGCACGTCGGACATAGACAGGATGAGATAGGTGCACATTATTTAGCAGAAATAAGATCGAATCCAATGTGTAGTACTCTCTAGGTTGGCCTTCCTTCCCAGTCCTGAAATGATTAAGACACGATTTTTACTCACAATTCTAATACAACTCCTTGGGCTTAATCATATAGTATTATCTACACACACTGCTATCCAATGAAAGATATTCTTAAGAGTATGAAATCTAATAAGTGAAAATGTCATTTGGGCAAAAGGGACACAAATGGAAACATTGACAAAAAGCAAGAGGTAAGGAAAGTACTATTCAAACTTTATTACTACAGACTTTTTAGAATTTGATACAAATTAGCTTCTGGGCTTTGTCAATAGAGAAACCTAATCAGTTAGGAAGGATCCATAAGAGAAGCAAACTGATTAAAAGAAACACACTAGTCACTTAGGCTAAACTTGCAAGAAACTTACCATGTCTTCTAAGTAAGGTTCTGCTGAGAAAACACCCTTACCAACATTCTTTAACACTACAATTAACTTCAGAGATATGATTCTTACGACTTCTCTCAAATTAAATCAGTGATGTAAAACCAAAACTAATTCTACCTGTGATAAAACAAAGTCGTCCAGGAGTGCAAGCTGTTTCATGCAGATACATGATACTACTTGCTCAACAAATGTTAGTGTCCAATCCCACTGTCCTATTACATTCTCCCCACCTAGAAATATCAACATATTGCTTAAATTCATCTGAATATGGCCCAATATAATCAGTCCCAAACTTATTTTTCTAGCCTCTATTTCCAGTTTTTCTCTAAATCAATATACTTCAAACCACATATCACTTATCAATCACTGTACTATAAAATATATAATACATGAGTAACAAATTGTATCTCTTCATGATATATTATAAAAAACAGAATGCACTGCATTCAGTAAGGGTAAATAATAATTTCATGCATATGTTTGCATTTCCATATACACAGAGAATAACACTCAATGAAAATACATATACTGTTGTGATTCACTGCTGCGAAAGTTTGAAATCTACTGTTCTAAGCGCTCTTTTCTTACTATTGACTTCACTCAGCTATCAAAACATTTCCTTTCCAGCTCTCAGGTCTTTAAGCATGCAGTTCCCTCAGCTGGAAAGACCTAGCCCACTACTTCGCCCTCAGAATTCCTATCCATCCCTTAACATTTGTTCCTTCACTTATTCAAGAAAAACCTAGCATGTCCATAGGTCAAACACACTTCTATGAAAACTTTCCCAGCTAGAAGTGACTGCTCTCTTTAGGAACTGGAATTCGATTCTTATCAAGTTATGTGTCATCTCTTCCACTCTGACTGAGATAACCTCCTTTGAGGCACCGACCCAGGTTCTTAAAATTTTTTCCAGTTCTCAGATTGAACAGCCTTCCACTGTGAATATTCAACCATTTTTTAAAGAAAAACCAATCAGTTAAAAATTCAATCAGGCTGAACTCCTACAGAATGTGTGGGGCAGAGGACTCCTAACCTCTTCCAGCTTGGTACTCCCCAAATCAGATAGACTTTTCTTCACATAAACTGTTAATTTGTTTTTAAAATGTAAATCTGCCTGTGCAAGTTCTTTTTGAAAGGGAAAAAAACACAGAAAACTCAGAATGATTTTACCCATCTGCACAAAGCTAATTAAACCGTTTAGATCCATGATGCAAAAAAATAAATAAAAACCAAGGAACTAAACTTCCCCTAGCTTTTCATCAACTCTTCCTAAAGCCCACTGCTCCCATTCAATCAAGCAAAATAAGTATGGAAGTTTCTGTCTAGGGTTCTAGCTATCCAAAGGAAACGCCACTGAGAGAGGGCTCACTCAAAAAGCCCCTCACAATGATTAGACCTTTTTTTGCTTTTGCAATATATATGCATATATCTTCTTTTTCAGATACTTTTCCCATGGGGGTTACCCACAGACCTCCCTTCGGGTGTCTTCCTTCAGGACTGAAACTCGGGCAACCCCCACCGGGATCCACATTCTGGACACACTCTCTTCACGCACTTTTGCCCCCAATCGCACACTCCATTTGTTCCCCACTCAGAACCGCACAGTTGACTTCATTTCAGCAGGAACTTTCTCCCTGAGGGAGACCCCTGCCTTCACCTCAAACAGATTCCGACGACTCGTCCCAGGGCGCCGAAATCTCTTTCCCGTCCTAACCTGACGGAAGTGGGTTCCCTTCTCTCTGCTTGAGGGAATCGCGAAAGGAGACGGAACCGACCGGGAGCTGCAAAGGGCCAGCAGAGACCATCGCAGAACAGCCTCTGAGAGAGATTTTAAAAAACAAACAACTAAAGGACAAAAAGAGCCGCCCGAGGACCTGGCGGGGCGCTCCTTCATATGCACCTATGCACCCGGCCGGCTCTCCACACACAGGGGCAGAGACCTCCACACGGAGAGAGAAACCTCCACACGGAGCCGCGGAGGAGGGACCCCTCGGACGCCGCTCCTCCGGCTCCCTCCTCACAGACGAGCTGCAACTTCTGCTCCCGGGAAAACTTTTCCCCGGAGCACCCGTTTCCCTCCATACCCAAGGGGAGCGGGGGGGAGGGGTTCGGAGAGAGACGGGGCGCCGGGGGCGCCCAGCCCTGCCCCCGGCCACAGCAGACTCACCCCCAAACCACATAGTTGGTCTTCACATTCTTGGGCCAGGAGAACTCGCCGAAGATCACTTCGTCCCCTTTCACCACAATCTCCTTCTTCTGGATGTTGTACTGTCGCAGGACGCTGAGCACGTCCGCCATCTTCGCCCCCCTCGCCGCCGCCGACGTACGACGCACGTACGGGGGAGCTTTGCCCGGCGCACGCGCGGGAGCACGTACCTCATCCTCCTCCCCACCCCCGCCCCCGACCCGCCCTCCACGCGCAGTGCGCACGCGGCAGGCGACAGGTGCGCGCGCACCTGCGCGGAGGCTCTGGGACCTCAGTCCCCAGAGCGCTCACTGGGTGCTCTTCGACGGCCCCGCAGTGTTGGCCCCTGGCCAGGGCAGTGTGGTCTCTCCTTTAACCAGGCTACAGCCTGGTGAGAGATTTGCAGAACCAAGGTTGCCATCCCGACGGGTCGGACCTACCTAGCAAATGGCCTCTTGATAAACCCCTATAGAAGGGAAAGGTGTTTAGGGGAAGGTGTTGCTTTGGGGGTAATTTTTTATTTTGTGTTTTTAGTGGACTCACCTAGTGGAAAAGGCCAAAGATCAATGCCGGGGCACTGGTGTTTGTTAGCCGCCTTTTGACCTCAGTCAAGTTACACACTTTCTCACAGAATCAATTGGTTAATGGAGAACATGGAATTAGTATAAGAAGGTAAAAGCATCACGCAAATAAAATAATAAATATTGGATCTTCCTCCTCTCGGTTCCATAGATGGTGCCTTTTTCCATCTTGTCCCCTTCTCCTGGCCAGCCTCAAGGAGCTACAGTTTAATAGCTGTCTTCCGAGATGCTAATAGGAGAGTTAGAGAACGCAAGCTCAGTTTATTGATATAAATTCAATGTACTGTGTCATGTCTACCTTAAACATATCCCATGGGCCATTTTAAAAAAAATTTTCTCTTACTATAGAAGAAAGGGGGAAAAGTAAATTTTGTAATTGACATAACCAAATTATTTTACCTGATTTGAAAGAAAGCAATTTTCGTCATGTGCACTGCAGAGAGATCTATAGACGAATGTGGTTCACTTTTCTGTATTCACTCTTCAGCCATTTTTTTGCAGCTGAATTTGAGAAATTGTGGCTATTCTGTAAATTTTCCTGTTACAATAATATTTTCCTAAACTTCACCCCAAACACGTTAAAAAAAGAACCTTTTTATTTATCCCCAGTACTATCTACTGGATTTATACTTGTATCAGAGCATCCAGTACTACTTGACTATCTCACCACAGAGGAATTCAAGGAAGTCAGGGTTTTATGATACATTAGGAGAGTCAAGAGTCTCCTCAGAAGATACTGAACTTTATTTCCCACACAAAGGATGGCTTAGTCCATCAAGGCTGCTACAGGAGAATGACGTATACTAGGTGCCCTATAGACGGATTTATTCCTGATACTTCTGAAGTCTAGGAAATCCAAGATGAAGGCACCGGTAGACTCAGCGTCTGGTGAGAACCTGCTTCCTGCTTCAAATACCTGAGTCTTCATATTGCATCTTCATGTGGTGGGAAGAAGAACGGTCTCTCAGGTCTTTTTTGAGTAAAGTCCTAGTCACCCCCACAAAGGTCTCACTCTTAGTACTGTCACTCTGGAATTAGAATTTCAACTTATGAATTTGAGAAGGACACGAACACTCAGTTTTATAGCAATTACCAAAAACAGTCTCTCTTTGGAGGTAAATTAAGTTTTTTTTTAAGGGTAATGATTCTTTTTTTTTTCTATTCTATTATAGTTTATTACAAGATATTGAATATAGTTTCCTAGGCTATACAGTAAGCCCTTGTTGTTTATGTTTCATGTATAGTAGTTTGTATCTGCTAATCCCAAACTCCAAACAAACCATGTTTGTTCTGTACATCTGTGAGTCTGTTTCTGTTTGCAAATAAGTCCATTCATATCATATTTTAGATTCCACATGTAAGTGATATCATACTACTTGTCTTTTTTAATACTAATTATTTTATTGTATGCTGCCATCAGTATATATAAAATAATTACCCTTGTGAAATAGAAAATTATGACTATTCAGAGAGGTAGACATTAAGGACGGAAAAAGTACAAGTTTGTATAGTATGGCACTTTACAGAGAGGCTTTTGTACAGGCTTCAAATTTAGCTTTCCTTTGAATATTCACTGGTTTACGAAAAGTGGTTTGGAAAACCTTGTCAAGATTCATCTTACTACAAAAAGGAACAGACTTTCTGGGGCCTGAAGGGATTTGTACTTGAAGATACCCCAGTCAGCAGAGGGTCATGTTGAGCATTCTGCAGACAGAACTGTCAAATCTGCAGCTGCCTGGGAGAACTTCACCCGATTGAGCTCGGCCTCCAGACGGAGCTGTTGAACCACTTTTTTCATAGCTGCGACACTGGATGAACAAGACATGGTGCACTCAAAAAGATGGCAGATTTGCAGGCTACTTGTCTTTCTTTGACTTCACTTAGTGTGATCATGTCTAGCTCCATCCATATTGCTGCAAATGACATTATTTCATTATTTTTATGGCTGAGTAATATTCCATTGCATACTATATCTTATTTATCCATTCATTTACGTTGCTTACATGTCTTTACTATTGTAAATATTGCTGCTATGAATATTGAGGTGCATGTATCTTTTCAAATTGGAGTTTTCTCCAGATACATGTCTAGGAGTCAGATTGCTGGATCATATGGTAATTCTATTTTTACCTTTTAAGGAACCTCCAAACTGCTCTCCATAGTGGCTGCACCAATTTATATTACCACCAACGGTGTAGAAGGGGGTACCATTTCTCCACACCTTGGGAGTAATGATACTTAATGTAGTGAGATATAGCATTAGTAATCTATTGCTTGTAACAGTCAAAGGGCTGAAAATTGCAGATCATTTAGTTTAAATCTCTTAAAAGTTCCCCACTAATATTGGTTCAGTAATGGTGTCAAAATACAGTTAAAGGCAAGGTCATTCATAGAGCTGAAAAATTAGAAAATTAATTTTTCCAATAGTCATATATGGATTTGAGAGTTGGAGCATAAAGAAGGCTGATCAACAAAGAACTTATGCTTTCAAATTGTGGTGCTGGATAAGCCTTTTTTAAGAGTCCTTTTGGACTGCAAGGAGATCAAGGAAGACAATCCTAAAGGAAATCAACTCTGAAATTTGTTGGAAGGACTGATGTTGAACTGAAACTCCAGTACTTTGGCAGCCTGATGCGACGAGCTGACACATCAGAAAAGATCCTGATGCTGGGAAAGATTGAAGGCAAAAGGAGAAAGGAATGGCAGAGGATGAGATGATTAGGTAGCATCATTGACTCAATAAACATGAATTTGAGCAAACTCCAAGAGATAGTAAAGGACAGGGAAGCATGATATGCTGCAGTCCATGGGGTCGCAAAGAGTCGGACACGAGTTAGCAACTGAACAACAACAAATAGAAAAATATTGAGAAATTAGCCTTGTTTCTTGGTCTTAGAATGAAAGCTGCTCATTTTCTCCAGTCATTATCATCTTCTAAAGAATTCCTAACAATCCTCAATTTGAAGTCTACTAGTAGAATGAAGTCCAGTGGGACCTCCCTGGTGGCCCAGTCGTTAAGAATCTGCCTTGCAATGCAGAGGACTTGGGTTTGATCCCTGGTCAGAGAACTAAGATCTGACATGCCCTGGGGCAATTAAGCCCATGCATTGCAACTAGAGAAGCCCTGTGAGCTGCAACTAGAGAAAGAAGCCCATGCACCACAACAAAGACTCAGCACAGCTAAAATTTAAAGAATGATTTTCAAAAAGAGAATACTGGAGGACAGGAAACCAGTAATTACCTCGCTAATTTTTTTCTCCATGAATGTGCATTTTATATCATTTTAATAATTTGGAAGTAGTAAAAATAAGCATACATACCACCCAGAGACATTTGTGTATTTTGTTAATCCATTGCTTTTCCTAAAAATAGGAGTAAAGAAAAATTATGTTTAGTAACCAGTGGTTTTTCATTCTGCTTTTTACTTAGAAATTATCCAGGCTTCAAAAGATTTGTTATTAGTTAATTTAATTCTGTGTCTCACATCTTAAAGTTAGTTAAGGATCTGGAATTTATGATTTTTAGCTAACACATTAATTCCTCATTATTTGTAGCATTCTAAGAATTTAACTATTGAAAAAGATATCTGTTATTACCATTTCATTTAGTTAAATACAATTACATATATTTTATTTTATATATTTATTTACATATACTGCTGCTGCTGCTGCTACGTCACTTCAGTCGTGGCTGACTCTGCGACTCCATAGACGGCAGCCCACCAGGCTCCCCCGTCCCTGGGATTCTCCACGCAGGAACACTGGAGTGGGTTGCCATTTCCTTCTCCAAAGCATTAATGTGAAAAGTGAAANAAGTCGCTCAGTAGTGTCCAACTCTTTGCGACCCCATGGACTGCAGCCTACCAGGCTCCTCCGTCCATGGGATTTTCCAGGCAAGAATACTGGAGTGGGGTGCCATTGCCTTCTCCGTTTATATATGTACACATGTATGAATATAATTTTAATCATGTTGTAGAAACAATGATAATTCATTTAACTCATAAAGCCAACTTTGCAAATTTAAGAAATTTAAATTGAGAGAAGTTTAACCCTAGTCCTGTATAAAACAAAATATTCTGTTGACATTATTTTTAAATAGTAAATTAAAATGTAAAATACATACTATAAGGTCTTCATTTCTTTTGGAATTAAGTTAAGCTTTGTCTTCTTATAAGTATGTAACTAGGGCTATTCAGTAAAAACACTTCTCAGGGTTCACAAAATAAATGCTTAGAGTTTGACAACTTTTTTAAAAAAAAAATATTCTGACTGTTTATCTGGACTAGATATTCCTAACTATGCCAGTTAGAAAGCTAAGCATACAAGTTAATGTCGTGGTGTGAAACATAAAGGAAGAAGGTTTGGGACATAGAAGTGGCAGTTTTTGATTGCAAGGAACCCAAGAGAACAGCAGTGTTCCCCAAAGATATGCTTGTGCAACTCTGCTGGAAGTTGGCCAAAGGCTCAGCATCACCAAACACAAGTTGGACAAAGCTCTTGCTTTGAACCAGTTGAAATTAAAGGAATCAGGGACACAAAGACAAGACTCA